ATATACTACTGAACTATATTGGACTTATATACTATCAGATTTATATACTATTGGACTGTATTGGACTTATGTAATATCAGACTTATATACTATCGAGATTTATATACTATCGGACTATATTGGACTTATATACTATTGGACTATATTGGACTTATAAACTAACAGACTTATATACTATCGGATTTTTATACTATCTGACAAATATACTATTGGACTATATTGGACTTATATACTATCAGACTTATATACTATCGGACTATATCAGAAATATACTATCGGACTATATTGTGACTATATATGATGCACGTATTTTATGCAATATTCCAGTTTTTCGCTTAAATTTAATTAGCATTTTTGGATGGAAATATAGCTAATGGTTGCTAGTTTACAACATTCTTCAAAATATCTTCTTTTGTGCATTCAACACAATGACAAACCAAACAAATAGGAGTAAATGATGGCTGACTTTTCATTAATGGGTGAACTGTCCCTTTAAGTAATCAAAACAGTATTTCAGGTATAGTGGGTGGGTACAGTGTGCAGGCCAATCAGGCAGTGTTTTACAGCAGGTACACCATTAGATTGCTAAGATTGACAGCTCTCATCATGATATGTAAGATCACTAACCAAAACGCCATGTAAAACGTGCAGATGGACCACCTGCCAGTGTTTTGGCTGGTGCTTCTGTGAACCAGGTGCCAGGCCGGTGTTTTTCTTGCCCTCCTGTCTGTCATGATTGTATAAAATTCTGAAGAGGGATGAGACGGCACTGAATGTGAACTGGAGCAGTGTTTATTCAGGCTGGTGCTGGATGTCGAGTCTTTGCAGGGAGAGAGAGAAGCAGAAGTCATTTTTAAAGTAAAAAGAGAGCGTTTTAAAGGGATAGTTCACCCAAAACTGAACATTCTGTCATCAATTACTTAATCTACATTTGATCCAAACCAATCTGAGCTTCTTTCTTCAGTTGAATGCAAAAGAAGATATGTTGAGGAAAGATGGAAAGGTGTAACCATTGACTTCCATTTGTTTTTCCTATATGGATGTCAATGGCTTTTCAGCTTTCTTCAAAATATCTTCTTTAGTGTTCAACAGAAGAAAGAAACTCATAAAGGTTTGGAACCACTTGAGGGTGAATAAATAGTGAATACGTTTTCATTTTTGAGTGAACTACCACTTTAAGATGACGTTCACTGCTTGACATTTGCTGTTTGTTCAAACTACTTATTTAAAATCGTACTATATTGGACATATACTATCAGATTTTTATTCTATTGGACTATATCGGATTTATATACTATCAGACTATATTGGACTTATATACTATCAGACTATATTGGACATATACTATCAGACTATATTTTACTTATATACTATCAGACTATATTGGACTAATATTATCAGACATATATACTATCGGACTATATCGGACTTATATACTATCGGACTATAACGGACTTATACTATCAGGCTTATATTCTATTGGACTATATCGGACTTATATACTATCAGACTATATCGGACTTATATACTATCGGACTATATTGGACTTATATACTATCAGACCTATATACTATCAGACTATATCAGACTTATATACCATCAGACTTATATACTATTGGACTATATCAGACTTATATACTATCAGACTTGTATACTATTGGACTATATCAGACTTTTATACTATCAGACTTATATACTATCAGACGTATATACTATCGGACTATATCAGACTTATATACTATCAGACTTATTTACTATTAGACTTTATCAGACATATAGACTATCAGACTTATATACTATCGGACTATATCAGACATATAGACTATCAGACTTATATACTATTGGACTATATCAGACTTATATACTATCGGACTTATTTACTAACAGACTATTTGGACTTATATACTATTGGACTATATCGGACTTATATACTATCGGCCTTATATAGTATCAGACTTATATACTATCGGACTATTTGGACTTATATACTATCTTACTTATATACTATCGGACTATATCTGACTTATATACTATGAGACTTGTATACTATTGAACTATATCGGACTTATATTCTGTTGAACTTTTATTTTATCAGACTTTTATACTATCGGACTGTATCAGACTTATAAACTAACGGACTATATCGGACTTATATACTATCTGACTTACATACTACTGTACTATCTCTGACTTATATAGTATCGGACCTATAAACTATTTGACTTTTGTACTATCGGACTATATCGGACTTGTGTACTATTGGACTACATCAGACTTATATATTATTAGACTATATCACACTTATACTATTGAACTATATCAGACTTATATACTATCCAACTATATCAGACTTATATACTATCGGACTATTTCTGACTTATATACTATTGTACTATATCGGACTTATATATTATCAGACTTTTATACTATCGGACTATATCAGACTTATATACTATCAGATTTATATACTATCGGACTATATTGGACTTGCATATTATCAGACTTTTATACTATCAGACCATATTGGACTTATATATCAGGGTCTAATTTCACTACATGTAAAAGTGTATGGGAAAAATATAAGCTAATCATCATAGTTATCATTAAAATGAGCAGAAACAACAAAATTCTAGAGTTTTTTGGTGAAACAACTTAACTGTTTTAAGTTCAGTTCACTTAAATTTGTAAAAACTAATAAGCAAACTTAATTCCTTTATGTTGCCCTAACAAAAATCGATTGTGTGTGCTTTTTTTTATTTTATTTTATTTTATTTTTTTATTTATATATATACAGTGTTTCACTGAGTTCATTGCAGTTTAGACGTCTACAAGTGTGCCAGAAATGTCCACTTTTCTCCTTCACCTCCCCCCCCCCCAATAAATAACTCAAAGGCCCAGCCTGCAGCCGCTGTCCAATCCTGGATATTTCCATTCCTGGAGAAAGTCAGTCAGGGACACAGAGGGATCTGCTGTGATAAATGTGTGAATGAAAGAGCTGCCGATTAATTCCATTCGCTTCTTGTCGCTAATGAACTGCACACTTCGTCATCTCAGGATATTAAATGAAGTTCTGAGATCAAACAGACCTACTGGTTCATCAGTGCAATGGCTATCGTGCTGTGAGGCGACAGTGCTAACCACTCAGCCACCGTGCCGCCATTAATGTGATTCATATCAATCGTATTTTTGTAAAAATGAAGCTTACCTAATACAAAATGACATGTTAACCGATTATAGGGTTTAATAGACAAGCATGCATTCAAAGAACATGAGCAGTTACTGCAGTTCCAAAACATCAGTTCTCAGATTCATCACTAGTGCTTGTTGTTAATGGATTGTGCTTGTGTTCATCTATTTATGGTGAATGTTTAGTCATAACGCAAGTGTGATTAATGAAATTCCTCTTTAAAGCCCTTCTGTCTCTTTGTGAGTAAACAAATGAACGTGTGTTTACCATCCAGCTTTTGCTCCAACAACTTTCCCAACACTTCTCCTCTCATGGAAACCATATTTCCTTGCAGATATTTGAGAACAGAGTCTTCAGTCTACTGTAGAGTCCGGGCCTGAAATCATCAACGCTGCAATGCACGCTCTGGTTTCCATCGCTCTGCTGTTTCTGGGAGTCAGTTTGGCTGCTTCGCTCTTCCTCCCCGATTCCCTGGAGCTCAGACAGTTAATGCAGCGCTATCAGGAGGAGCTAGAACCCAACAGCACTAAACCCGACGCTCCTGTCCGAACCCGCAGAGCCATCGAGTGGTCAGACCGAGAGGAGATCCTGAAGCTGCACAACAAGCTGAGAGGAGAGGTTTACCCGACCGCGTCCAACATGGAGTACATGGTGAGAATTCAACACAGTTTACACTCGAAAATACACATGAACATTTCACCATTTTTCTCAGAAAACATATTTCTGAAGGTGCTGTTGACTTGTTTGTAATAACCAAAGAAATATTTATGCGCAAAACGAATTAGTTAACAAATTAAGTTATGTGTAATAAATTTTTAAAAATGTATTAAACACATGAAGAAAGGATGGTGCAGAAAGGCATGGAAAGCCCAGACAGCAGCTGAAATCTCTAGTTCTTCAGCAACTCTCTGCCCTTCATCGTTGTAAATGAATATCAGCTGCTTCAGTCCAACATCTACATTAGCAGGAGGTTGAAGATGAAACCAGAGTAGATAAAACACAGACAAGAAACTCTCAAATGCTTTCAGAGAAAGAAAATCAAGCTGTAGAATGGCCTAGCCAATCACCTGACTTAAATCCAATAGAAAATCCCAAATAAAGCTCAGATTTGATAGACAAGACCCACAGAACCATCAAGATTTCTACACTCTGTTGAAGTCTGTGAAAAACTCACACCTGAGCAATGCATGAGCCTTCATTCTCCATTTGAGGTGTCTTTAAGGGTGCTTTCACACTAGCACTTTTGGTCCGCACCCGGGTTCATTTGACATCAGAGTACGGTGCGTTTAGCTAGTGTGAATGTGTCTTCTGAACTCGGGTGTGCACCCGTGAACCGTACCCGAGTCCGCCTGAAAGAGGTGGTCTGGGGTACGGTTCATGCGAACTCTGGTACGGTTCACTTCTAATGTGAATGCAATCGTACCAAATCACGGAAGTGAACCGCAAACTGTACAACAAACTATCGTTTTCATAACATTTGTGTGTGTGTGCGTGTGTGTGTGTGTGTGTGTCACGTTTCGTACCTTGGTGACACACGCGGGACTGAGCCAGGGCAAACACAGTGATACACAGTGATGTCTGCTTGTCTCCTCCAAAAACAGCTTCTGCAGACTCTGTGTGATGTTCTGAATGTTTAGAATATGTTTGCGGCAGATAGACGCGAGTCGCTTTCTATATGTCCAAAATCAAAAGCTTCAGTTAAAGCAGAATGACCGCGATGTGCTGAAGTCTTTCCATTTCGGCGCTTGCTTTCGTGACCGTCATCTAGCAGCGGCCGTAAACAAAACAGCAGCTTGATGACGCAAGCGTACCAGGGTTCAGAAGGAAAAAAGACAGTGTGAACACAAACCAACCGAGGAGGTGGCAGGGGAAGACAATCGAACTTGGGTACGGTCCAGGCAAATTAACCAAGTGTGAAAGCACCCTAAGCTGCCATCACCAAAAAAAGCCTTTTATATAAAGTATTAAATACATTTCAGTAGTTCAGCTCTTTCTCCTTGTGTCATTGCGTTGTTATTACACACAACTCATTTTTCAGATTTTGTTTGTTTTCTCTTTATGTTTGTATTGTTTGGGTTTTCACCAAAATCTGGTTCAACTTCATGTCAACAGCTCCTTTAGAAATATTACTCCCAGGAAAAAACACGACACGTTAAATACTTATTCCCCCCCCTCTAACTAGGAAATCAAGAAAGAAATATAATCTGAGATAAAGACTTGCAAGTCACCTACATTACAGTTGTGCTACATACCCTGCGATTGTTTCAAAAGGTAGAGAATAAGATTATACTGACTTTACTTGAAGGAACACTCCTCTTTTTTTAATATACTCGTTTACTACTTCTTTAGTGTAAAACACTTGAGTTTTAGCATTTTTTAATACATTCAGCTTATTTTCAGGTCTGGGAGCACTTTTAGCTTAGCTTAGCATAGATAATTGAATCGGATTAGACCATTATTATCTTGCTCAAAAAATGAGCTTTTTTGATAGTTTTCCTATTTAAAGCTTAAATCTTCTGTAGCTACATTGTGTACTAAGACTGACGGAAAATAAAAAGTTGCTATTTTTTAGGCTGTTAAAGCTAGGAACATTCTGGCGTATAAATCAAGGAGCTTTGCTGCAGCAGACACAATATTATACAGTGCTTGAAAATTGGTTAAGTTAACATTAATATAAGCAACATTAAAGTTACCTAGATGGGTACTGCTATGCGATACACAATGTAACTACATTCATAAGAGTCAAGCTTTAAATGGTAAACTTATAAAAAAGATGCTAATGGTCTAATCCGATTCAATGACTTATGCTAAGCTAAAAGTATTAGACCATTAGCGTCTTGTTCAAAAAATGAGCCTTTGATTGTTTTCCTATTCAAAGATTGAATCTTCTGTAGCTACATTGTCTACTAAGATTGACGGTAAATGAAAAGTTGCTATTTTCTAGGCCGATAAATCTAGGAACTAAATTCTAGTGTATGAATTAAGGAGCTTTGCTGCAGCAGACACAATTATATTACACAGTGACTGAAAATTGGCTAAGTTAACATTAATATAATCAACATTAAAGTTACCTAGCTGAGGACTGTTTTGGCAATACACAATGCAACTACATTCATAAAAGTCAAGCTTTAGATAGTGAACTTATCAAAACTCTTTGGTCATTTTTGAGTTAGATGCTAATGGTCTAATCCGATTCAATGGCTTATGCTAAGCTAAGCTAAAAGTACTTTCGCCAGGCCCAGAGATCGGCTGAATAGATTCAATAATGGTTAAACTGAGTCGTTTATCTCTATAGATGTGGTAAAATAAACCTATTTTCAAAAAAAAAAAAAAGTGGTGTCGCTTTTAAAAAATGTGTAAATCCATTGGTTTTAGGGGGCGCCAGGTTTTACTTTTCAAAAACCTCCAAATGCTTGTGTTGTGTAAATGAACAAGCAAAACACAGAGTTTTCATTTGAAATCTAGGTTGAGTAAATGCCCACTTCAAAGATAACAGTCTATGCAGTTCACTAGATTTTAGAACAGAGGTTCAATGAGGTAAGTCTGCACCCAAGCCTTTTTTTTATATCGACCACACATGTGGAACACAAAACCAGCACTCTGCTCCGTGTTAATGACCCTGTTTTAAACTAATTGCATATTGTGTTAGCATCAGTCATCTGTTCTAGCGCAGTAAATATCTTTAGGTTTGTGCAAATGCCAAATACAGGCTTCATGGGAAGAGACATGTTGATTTTACAAGTGTAATCCTGTTTAACTCATTGGGAGGTAGAGAGGAAAGTGTGCTGAGGTGTGCTTTACTGCAGAGACAATTACACTGAGACTAAACCGGCTGCTTATACACGAGCCATGATGCAGACCCATTTGAGCAAATACGACAGTAATAACTGATTTCTTTTATGTTTGCCATGATGACAGTACACATTATATGACTAGAATATTTTTTAAGATAGTAGAATTCAGCTTAAAGTGACATTTAAAGGCTTAAATAAGTAGGCAAGTTAGGGAAGTCGCTATTTCTTGTGTAGCTTTGCACACTGAACATGAGCTAAATGCTGATGTACTTTCTTAATAGAAAGAAATGAAGAGCAAGAGGTCATGGTTAATGTAGAAAGACAGGAGTCTACCACAAGCAGGGGTTTCCGAACCCCTGCCAGGCCTCAATGAACAAGTAAGGGCTTCAGAAACGTGGCCTCGTCCCAAACGACACCTTCTGAACTGAGGCTACAGAATGTGTGAGCGCTTGTAACCATCATGCTGTTGGAAATTTACTGAGATCCTCAGGCCGGCCGAGTTTTCTTTCTGCTCAGGTGGAGAAATAAGTTGAGGGAAATTTGTTTCATTTAACCCTGATTGCTGGGGATTTACAATGGATGGAGGCCAAGCTCTGATGTGCGTGCGTGTAGCCAATATTTTAGTTGTATTGGGCCTGATTCCCAGCTCAATAGTGAAGATGAGGAGTCAGAAGAAGGTGAAGGGAATTATCTGGGAATAAAACTCAGCATGTTCAGTATTTTGCTAAAGCCTCGGTGCAAATATATGGGAATTATGGACATGGTGGGTTCTGCTGGAGTAACTTAAATTGCGTTGTGTGTGTGTGTGTGTATGGGCAGATTTGGGATGATGAATTGGAGAGGTCAGCGACTTCTTGGGCGGAGCAGTGCCAATGGGAACATGGACCTCAGGATCTACTGATGTCCATCGGGCAGAATCTGGCAGTGCACTGGGGAAGGTACACTGAAAAAAATTCTTCAAAGATGATTCCTTGGATTTACTCATTTTTTTTACTTTAAGTAGTTGTAAACAATTTATTTGGGCTAAATTTAAACAAACAAATTAGGTTGAACATTATTAAACTTAATGTGTTTGTATAAATTCAACACAAATAAATTGTTTGCAACAGTTTTGCATGCAACACTTTTTTTTTTCAGTGTATGAGTATATACATACAGGGCTTGACACTAACTTTTTTGATCACCAGCCATTGTGGCTAGTAGTTTTCCAACATTACTAGCCACCTGATATTTTCACTAGCCACAATTTTGTTGTTAGAAAAATATATTTTATATGCATTTGACTTTGGCATGTTTGAACTACTTGATTTAAATGATGTTATGTCCACATGCCTCCTTAACTTTTTTCATTACACTTTTTAGGGCTCAACACTAAGGATTTACCTGTTTTTTTTCTCTGGACACACCAAACTAATTATTTCCTTGCCACAATTAAAAAAAAATGTGTAAAAACAAGCTAAAAGCAGCTGTGTACATCCACCTTTTTGAACAAAAATGTTTTTAAAAAAAGTATTTTCAGCATTTAAGACAAAAAGATGGTAAAAATTATTGCGTTTTGCAGTGCAAACACCGAAATCACACCGTTTTGAAGTTCCAAATCTGCGCAAAAATGGCTTTTTTTGGGTTAAGCCTCATTTGGCCTTCCATACGGATCGCCTGTCTCACTGTGCGCCTGATTTTTTAAATTAGATTAGATTAGATCGAACTGTATTATCATTACACATGTACAAGTACAATGCAGCGAAATGCAGTTTAGGTCTAACCAGCAGTGCAAAAGCAGCAAGTGCAGGATACAGGTATAAGTTATAAAGTGCAGTTATAGAAAAACTATGATGATATTTACAGACGGATGTACTATCAACATTATAAACAGGTTGTATTAGCTATGAACAGAGATTTACAATGAATATATGTACAGATTGCTATTAATAATCAGAAGTGTGCAGATAGATAAACATGATTACAAATGTATATGTATAGTGAGTGTGTACATAATTACCAATGTCCATGTGCAGTGGGTGTGTACAGTTCAAATAAGTCAATCAGTACAATGAACATGTGCAAGTTTTAAATGTGCAAATGTTAAACAGTGCAGTGATTGTGAGGAGTATAAGTTAGAGGAGAGTGAAGGGTGTATTGGGGGGGTAGGGGAAGCAGTGTTCAAAAGGGAGACAGCTCTGGGGAAAAAGCTGTTCTTAGAATCCAGAAGCAGCTCGATTGATAACTGTTCACATTCAGCTCGATTGACAATCATCCTCTTATTCGGTAGAGTGTTCACCTGCTGTCTTTTGCTTGCGTGGACAGTTATCAATCGAGCTGCTTCTGGATTCTAAGAGCACATTTGCGCCCATATTGACAAACGGTCTTAAACTAAAATTGGAATCTTTAGGGACAAGGCAGCTCTGGCAATTGAAAAAATGTTTTCAGCTAGCCAAAGTGGCTAGTGGGAGTGTCTGTCTAACCTGCCACAACTGAAATAGCCTACCGCAGAGGTTCTCAAACTTTTTTCATCAAGTACCACCTCAGAAAAAAAATGTCTCTCCAACTACCACCAAAATGAGCAGTGTTGAAATACAGTAGCGTAGTAGGCCCAGGAAAGCAGCTGCAACTCTGCACAGTTAAAAAACATGGCAGATTACCTCAGAAATATAGGCTATATGTCATATATGGCATATTATATACATCATTTTTGATAAATTCTTAAATATGTGTAGCATGTATATGGCATATTTCATTCCTCCGCGTACCACTAGAAGGAAGCCTGTGTACCACTAGTGGTACACGTACCACAGTTTGAAAACCACTGGCCTACCGCATTTGCTAGGCATTTGCCAGGCTGGCGGGGGTTAATGTCAAGCCCTGATTATATATATGAGCAATATCACACTCGTAGCAGTGCGATATGGCTGTATATAGGCAATGGTGGGAGGCGTGTGCCTTAGTGCCCGCACCAGTGCCGACATACA